AGGTTTCTGGACCTGATCGATTGTCGGCTGGCTCCGACAATAGAGCAATAGGAAAAGAAAAATTCAGCAAGGATAAAGCAGGAAAAAACAATTAACACACATGATCTACCTGACATGTAGGGTGCATTGCCCCAGAAGAGCAAAATTTACCCTTTTTACTTTTGGAATATTTGCCAAAGATGCCCATAGGTTCACCTATGTAATGACCTTAAAACAAGTCATTACAAAATTTAAAGGACTGAAATGATTCGTTTCTTGTTATCTGACAGAATTCTGGTTGTGAAGTTAGTAACAAATAAATTAATGAGGAATTCTCAATTGTTTGAAAAATAAACACTGCATATTTTTTAAATAACTCAAGAATCAGAGAAGAAATCCCAAAGGAATTCAGGCAAACAATAAGGATATGACACCATCACAAGGCACAGGAAAAAGTATTCCAGTAAAGAGTGCAATTCCAGGAAAGCAGGAGAAAGTAGAAATGGGAAAGCAGTAGGAAGAGAGATGCAGCCAGGGAAGGAAGTGGTGCAGGGCTGGCCATTTCTCAGTGAGCAGAGCTACCGAAAATGCAGCTGCTGCAGTCACGCCCAGGCGGAGAGAGGGACAGGAATGTGTTACTAACTCCTGCATCCCACTGGTCAGAGATTAGCCAGGCAGCCTGTTAACTTGCCCACATTTCTGCGGCAGGAGGAAAGTCCAGGCTGGAAACCCATGATGCGGGCAGGTGCACAGCCCCACCTGGCAGGATGCACCTTGTGGAGTCCGTCAGAGCTTCCGCACCAGTTCTGACCTCCTCCAGCTTTGTCACCAGAAGCTACCACTAAGGGACACAGACCCTTCCTACCAACGCATTTCCCTCCTTTTGAAAAGATGTGCGTGTTGCAGTCCGCCACCCATGTGGATGAAGAATCTTTCTCCACGTCTCCCAGCAATGACTCCATGTTCAAGCTCATCTTCCAGTCAGAAAACGGCTTTTTCCTTGGTGGAATATTATCTGCTGGTGACTTGACAGCTGTCATCACTAGGCCCCCTCATACTCCCACGTTCCTCTGTCACTCCAGTGGAACTTCCTGTGCAAATTCTACTGGCTTCAGTTGCTTTTGCCAACACTTACACATGTTCTGAATTTTATGGCTTGTCATTGTCTCTGAGTCTTGCTATAGACTTAGTTTGTGGGTCTTTCCACAATCCTATGTGATTTCCAAGAGAATTCCATTTGGCCCAAGCCACTGCCCCGTTCATTGTGGAACCAGAAAGGATTGTTTCAAAATTGTTAAATGTCGGCACTGACTAGGGTACAACGTCACCAAGACTCACAATGGGATGATGAGGGTGTAAACGTGTACATAATTTCTGGAATATGTCTTCAGCACCACTAAAATATTTATAACTTTAAATATCTTAATTCCCTCCTAGAAAATTTTTCTAATAAAATTTTCAGCAATCTGGTCAGAGATTTATTCAAAAATATATTCACTGAAGTATTATTTTAATAACCACAAATTTAAAATATTATAATGGATTGTAATACATTTTTAAGTTGGAGTACTACATACATATTAAAAATAGTATGTCACAGGGAAATGTCACAGTTTGCTGTTAAATAAACAAAAGTACAAGGCAGATTTCCAGTATTTTTATATCAGCTATACAGAAAAAGTAACCCTGGAAAGAATCATGTAATAAGCTGTCTCTTAGTTATTACACTACTGGTGACATTTCCCCCCACTTTACACTTTTCTGTAGTTTTCACTCTTACTAGAGTGAACACGTTACTTTGATAATCAGAAAGGTAATGAGAAATACAGCTGAAATCTTGAGACCCTCCTTCACATCAGATAAGAGTAGCTTTCACAGGCCTCCACAAAATCACCACATCTAAATGCCTCTGCTTTTAAGTTACAAAGGAAGGAAGCTGTAGCTGAAAATCTTGCCATCAAGAATTTCAAAACAGAAAGCACTTTCCTTATGACTTCAAAACAACTGATGGGAGAGTCCTGTTTAGTTTCTTGCATATTTCAAGCATGATTTTATTGAAAGAAAATTCCCCTGGTTTTTGCCCTGGAATTGCTCATAATGGAATTTTTAGAAATCATCTGTTTATTCCTCTTCATAAACAGTGACAAGACAATTCAGACCTATGTTGCTACTATAAAAATGGTCCAAGTTCTGTCCCTCAACATCCAAACTGCCCAACGTCTTCTTTGAGCCTCAATGATAGCAACACACAAAACCTGTTTAACCCTAAGACTGTCAGTAAGTTGTTTCTTGAGTTTACTGAATTCTTAAAACAAAAAAAAATCTAGGAAACAGAGGAGTTTCAAGGAAGCACATGAAGTTGGAGGATACATTTTCCTTTGCAGGTAATTATGAGCAACATTTTCTTCATACTTTTACTTTCAATTTACATTTATTTTTATTATTTTCTGAGGCCAGAAATGATTACACAAGAAAGGAATTACTTTTTTTCCTCTTAGGATTTTTGCAAAAAAGTTTCACTTTTCATAAACTCCTAAATTTACTCCACTGCTTCTCTTGTTCCATACACATGGTACAGAAATTTTTTCTAATGACCTAAACATTATAACTGAAAGTAAAAGTGAAGCATGTGTTCACTTTATCAAGAAGCCAGTTCCTTGGATTTCAATTTCTGTGGCTTTAGTTTGTTTATTTTTTGAGATTGTATTTAATTTTACATTATTCGCAAACATTTTCCACAGTTTCAAGCAGTCATTCAAACACTTTAATCTACATTATTCTCTAATTTCCTCACATTAGTTAAATCATTCAGCAATTTGATAGTTGCATTACATTTATTAATCAACCTCAACCACCCCAGTTCCTTTAAAATTAACTTAGTAATATAGTAGAAAGTGAGATGCAGAATTCCTTCACCTTATATACCCAGGCTTGCCAAACTATGACCCACAGACCAAACTTCACCTGCCACTTGTTTTTGTAAATGAAGTTCTGTTGGGCCAAAGCCATGCCTACCCACGTCCTACAGCTGCTTTCCAACAACAACAGTAGAGCTGAGCAGTTGTGACAGAGATCGTTTGGCTGGCAAAGAATCAAAATTTACTATTTGGCTCTTTTCAGAAGAAAATTTACCCACCTCTGTTATGTGCAATGCTCTCTGTCCTTAGAAAATGCTTTCAACATTCTGTGACAAATGGCATTTTCTTTTTCAACTAAGATGCTCATTTCTTAAAAACTTCTGGGTATATATATATATCATATATATATATATGATATATATATATATATATATATGATGTTATGACGTGGTTCCCACGTATTCATTATTATTAATTACATTATTACATAAACGGGTCTATACTGCATGATGTAATTCTTAAAACCTTACTTACATGACCTTCTGTAGGCTGGCTATTGCTACCATTGACTTCTTTGCTTCCTGTGACATCACCAGCATGACACATGATGGGACATTGCTTTAAAGAGCCACATGACCATACGTAGGAATGGATTCTGTAGGAGTCAAAGGTAAGATAAAAAGATTAAAAATTATGCACTGTATAGTCTTCATTCCTTGGATTTATGACTACATCCATACCTGATCATGCTTGAAAAGGCAGGAAGACTCATATGCAGAAAGCTTCAGAAGTCAATAGGAATTTCTTTGGCTTTATTCCTAAAATCTTCAGCCTTCCTCGTAATTTAACTCACATCCACATTGACTATAGCTACTTCATTTGGGGAAAGAAATAATCATACATCATTTAAAATAAACTATAACATTTCATGCAGTTCCCTCCTAAAATGGTTTTAATTTTCCCACAAAGCAGCACAAAGTAAATGTGATGTCAAATGTATTTGTGGACTTCATGTCAATTTACTGAGCAACTCTAAGGAAGATGCTGAAAATAAGTTGCAAACATCTGTTCTAAGAGTGAAATGGCAAAGTCTCCACTCAGACACTCGGTAGTAACATGCAATATTATAACATCATGGCTCCAAGGGATATGTGATTTTGAAGGGTTTTGAATATACCAACAGATTACACCATTAGAAAGCCTTAAAATAGTATATTTCTTAATTTTAAAAAAAGGTAGTCTAACTTATGTAGGCCATTTAAAAAAGTTAAGCAATGTAATTCCTAAATTATAAATCAAAAACCATCTTAAACAAAATTCAGTATGGTCTGTGATATAAAGAATATTTATATTATTAGTAATAATAAATTATCCATGTAATCTCATTTCTATTATTTACTAAAAGTTCAATACAGTAGTAAGTTCCAAAAGTTAAGCCATTCAATATGCATGCCAGCAAGCTGGCATCTTCTTGAATTACTTATTTAAAAATATTTACTCAAAACTTATTGTGTATGAGGACCTTTGCTTGATAACTAGTCTTAATCTATAAGAAACATGCCAACCAGTGGGGGAAAAACCCTGCAAACAACTCACTAATGCTCCTAAGTATTTTAATAGAAGAATGAAGAAAGCCCCATGAAAAACCACAGTGTGACTTAATCCTATAGAAAAGAGGAAGATGAGGGACTCGAAAGTACATCAGTGAGGTGCAGCTGAGATGGCCTTGAAGAATGAATAATGTTACTCCAGCAAAGGGGATGTTGTTTGCAGAGGCTCAGAATTCAGGAGGGTGGGTGAGGAATAGATTTTGAATGTGGCTTTACTCTTGCCCTGGAACTGAACCCAATGCTGGGGATGAAGAAGCGTTAAGTTGTCCCACATTCTAAGGAGTGCTTTGTAGCTAGGTCCAGACAGCTGCTCCAGAGTGAACTCAAAGGCAGGCAAACTCTTACTACTTCTACTACCTCCAAGCCACCAACTGCACCCCAAGACCCCATTTCTGGTCCATATAAGAAGATTGAAATATCAGGAAGGTAAGGGAAAGGCAATGGTTGGAATCATCAGCCAGGAACATGGCAGGACTTATACAAGAGACACTGTGCTACAGACTAAACTGTATCTCCTCAAATTCTTATTTCAAAGCCCTAACCCTCACTGTGATGGTATTTGGAGATGAGGCTTTGGATTAGGGTTAAGTGAGGTCATAAGGGTGAGGCCCTCATGATGGGATTAGTGCCCTTATGAGAAGAGATCTCATAAAGCTTCCCCCCCCCCACCAGGTGAGGACACAGCAAGAAGGCAGCCGTCTGCAAGCCAGGAAGGGAGTCCTCACCAGAGACCTCAGTCAGCTGGCTCCTTGCTTGGTCTTGCACTTCCCTGTCTCCAGAAGTCCAGGCATGGGACTTTGTTGTAGCAGCCTGAGCTAATACAGGCTGGCATCTCATCCCCTGGCTGGACATCATGTCTGCTGGTGGGATTATTGATTTGCTCTTAAACCTACTTGACTAAAGAAAAAAGAAAAACGGAGAAAAGTATCACATTTTCAGCGTGTGATCCAGCAAAGCTGTGTGAATTTGCCATGGCTCAAGGCTGGCCTCCTTGCAAAGGGACTCAAATAACCAGACCTGGTGGGCTGTGTCACCAGGGGAGGGAGTTGAGAGGTAGAGAGAGGTTAAGCCTAATCGCCTACCGAGTGTTGGTGGAGAGGCCACTAGAGGTGTATGGAAGAACTCACACACATGGCCCGCAGGAGAGCCCAACTGTGGGAACACCCACACAGAAGGTATCAATGCCTGGTTACTGTTAGTGAGGAAGGAGACTTCACAGCCACCAGAGGATGGCCTGGTGAGGTCAGGGCCTGTCTGGTCCATCTGCCCTAGGCCACCCTCTCAGTCCCCAACTCTCAGTGGTTAAAACCAGAAGGAGGTTAGAAAGCATGAAAATGCGGACCACATCCTCTTTCTCCTACTGGTCCCACAGGCCTAACTTGAGCTGAGGGAACATACGGAGAGGAGACTGGGATTTTAAATGAACTAGACAATTGAATAATTGGAAGCAACCAAAATGCTATAGGATCTGATGCTTTTGCAAATGGGTAATTAAAAATGGATTATGGGGGGAGTCGTCCTGCGTTCTGGAAACATTAAAGAGTTAGTATAAATAGGTCTTAGATACCACCAGTTATGCAGGAACGGGGAAGAGGCAATCATTGTTCAGAAAAGAGTAATTCATTTTGGATCGATTTAAGACAAATTCCTATTCCATCACTTTTCCCACTCTCTAGCAGTGTCTTTTCTAGTTTATTCCCTTTCAAATTCCCTTTTTAACAATCTCTCACCTGATCTGTTACTATTATACAATAATAATAAGAGCAAGAATCCTTATGACGCTTTTTGTTGAAAGAAAAAATGACTATGTCTTTTGAGGGAAATGTTTGTTCAATTCAAAAGTTGATCTCAGACACAGCCATCAATCTTATTAGCTTTCTGTTTTATCATTTTTGCTTTTTCCTCTACATCATGTTCATATGACAGCCAACTCCTTAGTCCTGGTTTTACTTCTCAATTCTATTATCCGATAACAATTTTTCCTTTGAGACTTTTCTTGGATTTTTTTTCTTTCTATCCTCTCTGTGGAACCTTCACCAACTCTAGAGGACACACCTAAGAGCAATGTTCCTTATGCCTTTTCTTTTCCACCCAGGAAACAAGCTTCCGGGATGGCCACCACAACTGATGAACTCTGCAGGAGGCAGAGAATGAAATTAGCAAGTGCGCTGAAAGGCACAGGAAATGCATTCAGACCCACTGGATTCTCAAATGGAAGGACCCGGGGAACTGCTATAGCTTTTTGGCTACATCTGTTTACCCCTTGAGCTTCGAAAGAATGAATAAGAGCACCTAAGACTGTGGTTCAAAGCTAGATGGACTCTTGCCTTTCATACCCCATGTAGTCTTATCTTTCAGTTATTAGCTTCCTAGAAGCTAATAATTACTAGCTTTATTAACTAATAAATTATTAGTTTATAGGAAGTTAGCAGGCTAGCTTTTCCAGGAAACATCTAATAAGGGGTAACCAAAATATTTAAAAAACAAAGAAGTTCAACTCAGCTCTTATGCCATTTTGCCCCAATAATCTATTTCAAGTTAAGTGACATACTCTTCAAAGTGCTATGAAAATAGATGTTCTCCAAAAGTGCAGAGCAGTGATAACGGAAGATTACCGCTGACCTGTTCAGATTGCTGGCCTCCATGTGGACAAACACATGTTTGGGGAAATGTGGCTCTTACCCTGGAGCTCAATCAGTACATATTTAAATGGAATTAAAAGCAAAAAATGATAGATACTCCAAAGAAGGTCCAGTCAGGTACCCACTTTTCATAGAGAAGAAAGATGCGTCCCAAAGAAGCCAAGTGACTTTCTCTGACCAGCAAGGCTCTCTAAGAATAGATATGCATTTCCATAAAAGATGCAAAGATGCTCTTTAGAGCTGGAGTGGACACTGAGGCACCCATCACCCCAGCTGAGAGCTCAGAGCTGAGTCTCTTCCCAGAAATGCTCTCAGTGGAAGAGAGCTGCCTAGTACAAGGTCACAGTCCCTCCCTGGGGAACTAGCCTGCTTCCCTGGAGTTGGAACATCTCTAAAGGGTCATCTCAGCTTGAGAACACTCCCCATAGGAGTTGTCAGCTGAGGCCTCTGCTGCCAGCATCCCACTCCCCTTCTCCTTCTTACCCACCTCACTTCCATCGGGCGCTGCTCCTGAGAACATGCCCTGGTGAGTCTCCTGCATGTACACTCCTATCTCGGAGTCACTTCCCAGGGAACCCAGCCTACACAGATAGTGTATTCTATTAGTTGAGAAAATGGAGGGTTGGGAAAGACTTGGATTAAATGGACATAGAGTATTGTGGGACTTCCTTTAGCTTGACGATATGCACTGTGAACTGTCAATGAATACCCAGAGATATCAAAAGTTATTTCGTCACAGAACCTCTTTTAATGTTGAACAACTTCTGAGACTTGTGTTCTGCGGAATATGCTCTGGGAAACACGAATGCAGTTCACTCTATAATTACTAAAGTTACTCAGCTCAATATTTTCAGTAATGGCAGAAGGATGGAAATAGCAATAGGGGAACAATAAAAAACAATAGAAGGATGCTTAAAAAAAGATATGTCCATTAAGTAAAATATTATGCATCCATAGGAAAAAAAATGAGAAATTCTTTCAGTACTAGAATGAAAAAGTAGCCAAAGTATATTTTTAAAGTCCAAACAGCAAGATTAGTCAATAGTGTGTATTTGTTTCTAAGAAGGGGAAGGAAGGAATACATGTGTTCATTTTCCTGTGTGTGCACAAACTACTGACAAAGACGCACAATACAAAATGGGAGCATCAGTTGTTTCTACGGAAGGAAATTAAAAGCACTTCGTACCTTTTGAATTTTAAACTGTGGAAATAGATGACCTCTTTAAAAAACTGAAAAATTAAAAATTAAAAGCAAAACACCACAAACTATTAGCAGATATTTAAATACTTTGTATAATCATATACAAAGAAACTCTGGAGAAAAAAATGTATAAGATCCTCAAAGTTAAAAGTTAAAAGATAAGTCAAAGTTACTTAGACTATGAGCTCCTTGAAGACAGGAA